TTGAAAATGAAGATCCCTACAAGTTCCTCACCGAATTCCATGATATGTGTGTTAGCATGACACCACAAATGTAACATCCTCAAAATCACGGCCAGATAAGACCGATTTAATTTGTGCTTTTAAAATAATTTCAGAGTAATCGTTTGATTAAAAGAGTTGCGGAATTTGTCCCCAAAAACAATACATGATAAAATAAGGTTTATCAAGGCATTTCTTAAAGAAATGTATTTTCATAATTTATCAAAAAATCGGGATGTCATGTTCCGATACAGACACAAAAGCATAAACAATAAAACATAGACCTTACACAGTTACATACAACTACTGGTCTATAAGAAAAAATATCTTCACAAGTTCACCAATTTATGCTCTCGCGCCACTACCTGTAATACAAATAAAACTGAGTGGGTCAGGCTTGGGATCCTAGTGAGCATATAAAGTATTCAACCCACAATAAATAATTATATTTAATTTTCACCAACCAATAATAACCCAATTACCCATTCCCGTTATCCTGACTTTACGTCCCTATGACAACAACTATTACACGAGGGACCTAATCTAGGATTTTCATCGGGACGAACATACTACAAAGGGCTTCCTCAACAATAGATGTCCTAAAGGCAACCATGAGGGGGATAGAGTACACCGGTGAACACATCGTTCACAATACCTACAGGTTATGAGTCTGCCAACGTTCCACTGGACTGTCTAGAAAGAGTTTGTGGTTGTCATCCATACTCCGCTAGATGACTAAGTCAATAACAACATCGAGACCTCTCATCAATTTATCACACGTCAACTATTTGTCCATGTTCTAACCCAACATATTCTATAGATAACAATATATAAACATACATTCATATATAACTTAAAACTTGATGAGATATTCATTCAATACCCATTCCAAATAAACAGATCATATACATATATATATATATATATATATATATATATATACACACACACACACACACATAACATGTACTCTATATGAGATACTTCATAGTTATGTGTTACAAGAAAAGGGAAGATGCCCTCACTCAAAACATATACGTAATACATACAACAATACTTGGATTAACAATCGTGTTTATGAAAGAGACTATGCACTCACTTGATAAGAAGATTATCAGACAACACTACGGCTTTTCAAGTAGTAACCCTACGATGTATCCAGAATATCTTCACACACCGGGTTTCTCGCGGGCAGATCTTCGGCTTGGAAACTCGTTTCTTCTCGGGATCTTCAGTGCTTCGGGTCTCGGGATGATACCGGGCCGGACCAGAGCAGACCATTTTTTTGGACCACCGGGGCAAAACCGTTCCGGTCTAGTCGGCTCCGGGTAAAAATCGGTTTTGGACCAACTTATTTAAAAAAAAAAAAATTGTATTATGTGAGATTTTTTAAACAAACATATTTCATTCGTTTTAAATCGGATTTACATGCGGTTTTTTTCCAATGTGTAATTTAGAGTTTGTAAATGATTTTAGACTATAATTTTGTTGTTTTTAATGTTATATTAGATGAGTTACAATCCTTCAAAGATAAGATATCAAAGCTGAAATATTTCAGCTTTTCAGCAAAAATTTAAACTTTTGTATCTTGTAAAAAATTTTAAACAAGCATATCTTATTCATTTTAAGTCAGATTGACATGAGATTTTCTCCATTGTGTAATTTAGAGTTTGTAGATGATTTTAGACTATAATTTTGTTGTTTTTGGTGTTATATTCAATTAGTTACAATACTTCAAATATGAGCTATCAAAACTGAAATATTTCAGTTTTTCAGCAAGAAATTTAAGCTTTTGTATTCTGTGAAATTCTTTAACAAAAAATATCTCATTCGTATTAAGTCGGTTTGACATGTGGTTTTTCAAACATGTAATTTAGAATTATTAGATGATTTTAGACTATAATTTTATTGTTTTTGTGTTATATTCGATGACTTACAATCCTTTAAAGATGAAATATCAAAGCTAAAATATTTTCGCTTTTCAGCAAAAAAAAAATTTAACTTTTGAATTCTATGAAATTCTTTAAACAATAATATCTTATTTTTTTAAGTTGAGTTGACATGATGATTTTTCCAAATTATAATTAGAGTTTGTAGATGGGTTTAAACTATAATTTTGTTGTTTTCGGTGTTACATTCAATGAGTTACAATCCTTCATACAAATGCTATAAAGTATAAACAATCAAAATGTGACCGGTCTAAATAACACAAGAAACGAAAACATATATATTTTTATGAGTTGTACCGTATCAAAACCAAAAAATATTTATTTTACCAAGTTGTAATGTATCAAACCTTGCAATATATTCATTTTAACGAGTTGTATCAAACCCAAAATTGTGTTTTAACAGGTTGTACTATATGCATGTAAAGTTGTACCGGTCCAAATGGGTCCAAAAACCAGAAAACCCAAACCTAGACCTAGACATGGACCTGGACCTGGTAAGTGTCATCCGACTCGGTCCACAATCCATAATATTCTTTGAAACCGGTTCGGTCCAAGAGTTTGTCCGGTCCGGTCCAAATGGTCATCCCTAGTGTATGGTGTGTGGTCCGATCCAAATTGTGTTTGACATGTGGTTTTTTCAAACATGTAATTTAGAATTATTAGATGATTTTAGACTATAATTTTATTGTTTTTGTGTTATATTCGATGAGTTACAATCCTTCAAAGATGAAATATCAAAGCAAAAATATTTTCGCTTTTCAGCAAAAAAAAAAATTAACTTTTAAATTCTATGAAATTCTTTAAACAATAATATCTTATTTTTTTTTTTTTAAGTTGAGTTGACATGATGATTTTTCCAAATTATAATTTAGAGTTTGTAGATGGGTTTAAACTATAATTTTGTTGTTTTTGGTGTTACATTCAATGAGTTACAATCCTTCATACAAATTATATAAAGTATAAACAATCAAAATTTGACCGGTCTAAATGACACAAGAAACGAAAACATATATATTTTTATGAGTTGTACTGTATCAAAACCAAAAAATATTTATTTTACCAAGTTGTAATGTATCAAACCCTGCAATATATTCATTTTAACAAGTTGTATCAAACCTAAAATTGTGTTTTAACAGGTTGTACTACATGCATGTAAAATTGTACCGGTTCAAACGGATCCAAGAAACAGAAAACTCAAACCTAGATCTAGACATGGACCTAGACCTGGTAAGTGTCATCCGGTTCGGTTCACAGTCCATAATATTCTTTGAAACCGGTCCGGTCCAAGAGTCGGTTCGGTCCGGTCCAAATGCTCACCCCTAGTGTATGGTGTGTAGTATTTTGGTAAACTCACTAAGCTTCGTGCATGAATAAAAAAATGTTGCGTACTAATCATCTCCCTTTATATATGCGTATACGTATAATCTTAATCATAACCAATGGTTCTCTTTCTAGATTGTATTTTGTCCTACAAATTAATAAATGTTTTCTTTAAGAGCCAAAAAATAGATATCTTTTACATTTACACCAAATAATGATAGTTGAATTTTTATTCTATTTTTTTATGGTCCCTTTCAAATACAATTGATGATTCTAATGGACCCTTACACATATAATTGATGAGTTTATATACATATATATTAGAGCTATGGAAAAAAAAAAAAAATAGGCACCTCAGGTTTTTGGGCCCAAAGCACTAGCTCATGTTGCAACAACCCTTGACCAGTTTGGTCATCTCGAATAAAAGTAGACGTATGATTTAATGGACTATTTCAAATTTTCATATCTCAAAGTTTTGGTATATTGTCTAACCATATGCATTTTCACATAAAGACATGTGATTCAATGGACTATTTCATATCTTTCACATCCCAAAGTTTTGATATATCCTCTAACCATGTTCACTTTCACATAAAGATGTACGATTTAGTGGACAATTTCATATATTTCACATCACAAAGTTGTGGTGTATTGTTTAACCGTGTCCATTTTGACATAAAAGACCTATGATTCAATGAATCATTTCACAATTTTCAAAGTCGAACAATAATGTTTGATTTGTTAATTAATCTTAGAAATAATTACTCATTATCAAAATACTTTTTAAAATAACTAAAATAGAAATAACTTATGTTTTATATTTTAAAAATAAATTAACTAGTATGATGATCTATATAGTGGTTGAGATGTATAAATCTATTAGAAAAAAAAAAGTTTTAAAATCCAACATACACACTCAAAATATTCTTTGGTTTTATAGTTTGATCTTATCAAACATATTTGAAGTACTTTAATTCTAAAAAATACATAATTTGATTAGTCAATTAAAACACCATTTAAGATAACTACTCTAATAATAAGTAAAGAATAATAGGCGTTAGAGATGAATATAATAATAGAAAACCAAAAATTTCAAGAATCTAGACAAAATTACGCTATCATTTTTCTAATACAAGACTTTTACTTTTTAATACAATACTTTCATGGGGAAATAGCGGTTGTGATATCAATTAGCAGAAGCTTTAGATTTTTACATTAAATATTTTTAGAGGGTCTTCACTCTTTCTTCATAATCACATGCGAGTAGCCAAAACGATGATGATTTTATCACATGATGATATGATTTTATAATATAGAAGTATTGCTTAATTTCGATGAAGTATAATTTCTTGGGATACCCCTAAAAATAAGGGCTCTGAATTCATGATGATACCCATGAGAACATTGATCACAGATTTCCTTAAAACTTTCAATTATTGCTCACCTGACCTAATAATGTTCTTTTAAGTTTTTAACTCCCCCACCATTTTGCTTCAAATCGCTACTAAATCTTCAGCGACTACGTTGCTTCACCTGCAAACTTCCTCTCGTTAGCCATTTTTCAAGCTCTCGCCTTCATCAATGGCAACTGAAAAGATTTGGGTGTCGATTGTTTAACCCGATTGAAAACAATTTCATTACCTTCTTGAAATCTTGATTTCCTATAATCAATACGCTCTGTTTTTTTTTTTTTTTTTCTTTTCTTTTGTTTTCATGGTGGGAAAAGGGGAAATCAGTAGTGTTTTCGAGGTGGGTTCGCAACAAAAAGTCAAGATTCATTTGCTCTTTTGTTTTTTCTGTGTGGATCTGGTCTGCTCTCTTTTCGTTTTCTCATCACCGAACTAACGGATACCATGTGAGAAACTTAATTCCGTGGTCATTAATGGCGGTTTTGTGACCTCAATTTCAAATTTCATCATCTGGGTGTTTCCTTTTAGTTAAACATTTGAGAAAGAATTTGGGTTTTAGTCGATGGTGATTACTTCTGTCTGGTAGCAAATAAACACTCGAAAAAAGGTACGCTTTCTTCTTCAATCAAACAAACGCGTATTTAACCTAATTCACTTCTAGCTTTCTTTTTGGCTTCTTGTTTAGATCTGTCACTGTTTGAACTTGATTCTTTAATGGCGGCAATTGATGATTCTTCAAAAAAATTTTTGCTTTTGTCTTTAACTGGTATGAAGCCGGACAATTTCTTCGAATTTTGTCTTTTTCTCGATTAAAAATCCTCAACAGATTGCGCAACAAATGTACCCCAAACGGGATTCTTCTTAATTTTTTATAAATTTTCTGACTTCTTCAATCCATTTTTTGTTCTAATTAGAATATGCCTCAAGAACGCTTGAGATCAGTTGTGTATCGATCATTTGTCACCTGCGAAGATCCAAGAGGTGTCGTCGAAGGGAAAACAATCAGAATCTCCAAAATTGATCCTACAAAAACGTTAAAGAATTCGAAAGAAAAAGCAAAAGAAAAAGAAAAAATGTCTTCTAGTAAAGCCCCATCTTCCTACGAGCTTGTTGAGGTCAAAAATGGAGCTCAAAAGCTAAACGAAGCTATCGATTCTTGGTCAAACGGAGGTCATTTCAGAAGTCAACCGAAAGATATAGCTAAAGATTTGCTAAAAGGCGCTCTTGATCTTCAAGAATCTCTCATGATGCTTGGAAAATTGCAAGAAGCTTCATGTATGGCTAAGTTGAAGAAAAAACAAGAAAAGTCGAGTGAAGTTCTTGTTGGGAAAATAAACTCAGATCGATTTGAAAGCTTTCAAAGTTATGATATGGGTTTTGAAAAGCAAAGAAAATCAGAAAATGGGTCTTCAAAAGATTGTTATTCAGAGCTAAGAGATGTGATTAGAGATGGGCTTTCAAAACAAAATCTTTTGCCAAACAAGTCTTTTCAAGAAAGTGTTTTTGCAGGTAGCAGGGAGCTAGTCGCAGGTGTTGAAAAGTTTAAATATAAATACTGTTACTGATTTACTGATACTGATACTGATACTGTTTGTAGGTGAGAGGAAATTGCAGTTGTCACCGGATATGGCTTCAACGAGTTCAAGTAGATCTTCTTCAATGGTGTATTCGACTCATGAGTTTACATCTTCTGAGTCGTTATCTTCAAGGGCTACTGAGGATAAGTCAAAAGGGTCAAACTTGATTGCAAAACTTATGGGGTTAGATGAGTTTCCTTCAAAACCAATTCCTTCTACTCCTATTAATAAGTTGAAAAGTAGCAAAATGAGGCCATTTTTTGATGTTGATTTACCGAATGGAAAGAAACCGAACTTTTTTGCTCAAAAGATGGATAGAGAACATATGACATTAGATGGAATCATCAAAATGGTGCAAACGAAAGGGCTTTTGAGAAGCAACAAACGGGAAATTAAACAAAAAAGATTTGAAGATGATGATGTGCCACCGATTGTTTTAATGAAGCCCCAAAAAGGTAAAGGAAATGTGAATGTGAATACAAATTCGATTAGAAAGCTTCATCAAGAAAAGGCGAAAGCCGAAGAGAAGGCAATGAAGAGTAGAGAGAAATCGGGGTGTAATAAGCAGAAAGGTTGTGTTCAAGGTGTTATGAAACAAGAAAGAAAGCAAGAAATGGAGAAAAAGATAGATAAGATTCAAAAGATTCCACCACAATTAAAGAAGAAACAAGTTGAGAATGTGAAATTAACAAATTCGGTTTCGAAAAATGATTCTTTGAAGCCAAAGAAAAAAGCTCTCACGAATCCCATCACAAAACGAATATCATCTTCAGGTTTATCTTCCAACAAGTCTAGTAATCAAAAGAAGAATGTGAAGTTGGAAAAAGTGGTCAACAAAGTCAACGAGCCATTGACTACCATTGTGAGTTCTTTTAAACTTTAGATATTTGAAATTGGCACATTTTAATTCCAATGTGGATTGGGCTCTTTGTGGATACCGGGATCGAAGAAAAAACCTTTTTTTTAGAAAGTATAAGTTTTTAATCCTAACATTGTTACATGGTATTGCAGATTCATGAAGTTTTACAGATTGATTCGCCTAAAGAGCATGAAATTCAAGATTCTGAAGTTACAAGAAATGATATGGAAGAAACGGGTGTTTCTGATGTCAATCAACCAAAAGACGAAATCTTGAAAACTATAAACAGTTTTCAAGATTCCGAAATCTTGAAAACTATAAACAGTTTTCAAGATTCCGAAATCTTGAAAACTGAAAGCAATATTCAAGATGTTGAAATCTTGAAAACTGTAAGCAGTTTTCAAGATTCCGAAATCTTGAAAACTATAGACAGTTTTCAAGATTTTGAGCCCACAAATTTTGGGCTTTTTCAAGACTGTGTAAACGAGTTTTTGGAGCATGAAAGCCGAAGGAAAAATCCATGGCTTACAATTTCCGTATTAGCATCAAGAAACTGTGGTTTAGAAGAAGACGAGTTAATGAGGGAGATTGTGAAAGGAGTTGAAAATTTAAGAAATTATAGTAAGTTTTCTAATGAGAATTCGAATGGAGATAAGGTTTATGAGTTTTTAGAAAGAGATTTATGTTTTAATAAAATGGGAGGAACATGGAGTAGTGGTTGGAAAGATGGTTGTACCCTAGATGAAGTTGAGGAAGCTGTGTTGGATTTGGAGAAGATTGTTTTAAGTAAATTAATTGATGATATGCTTATGGAACTTGTATTAGAAATAGGTTTTAGATCGTGATAAGTTTCTTTTGTAACGTTTTATAGTGTAAAGAAAATGGAATATCTAATGATATTATCATAGTATATTTTCGGATATAATGTTATGTATGTAGATAAAGAAAAAGGTTAAATGATAGAAATAGTTGTGAACTTTTGTTGATTTTGTTTATCAATAGCATCTTATTTTCGGTTTTTTTATTGTAACATTGAAATTTTAAAAATTTACCATGACGTGTCATTTTCAAACACAGAATTTATGTTACTTTAATGTATGAAAAAAGATAAAAATTTAAAGCATGATATGCTATAATCGGGAAGATTTTTAAAAAACGCAATGCCTTGGTAAGAAAAAAAAAGAACGAAGTAATAGAAATAACTTTTTTATATAGTACATTCTTATAAAAGAAAGTAATAAATAGAAATAAATGAAGATAGAATGTTATATGGAAATGCATTATTATTTCTTACATTTAGACTTGCATAAAAAACTGAAATTGTTCATCTCCTTATTAAATTTGATGTTTCCCATAATCACACGCTATCTTAGATAAGAGAATTTTAGTATATTAAGCAAAATTTTAAAATTTTAAATTTCCTAGTGCTTTTCCCTTATTCAAGTAAAAGAGTACTACTTAGTTTCAACTAATCTGAAATTAAGATCATGGCCAAATAAAAAGGGTACAAAATTAAATGCTGCTAGTGATTTGGGACAATATATCTCTATTCTATACATATAAAGATGAAGAACCCTAATGCTTGATTAAGAAAATCAAGAAGCACCTTTAAAGATAAGGAAACTAAGAGTCTCCAATGAGAAATAGATGAAAGACCCTTTTGAATGAGTGAAAAAACAACTGAAATTTGAACCCACAACACATTGCCATCCACTTCCATAAATCCTATCAAATTCCTGCATATTCATCAAAACCCCACAAAATTATTTCACAAAAAAGAAAGATCTACAAGCAAAAAAGATACCTTCTTGATGTAAGCAGCAATGGAGGTGTAGTCAACAACATCATAGATATCAAGAGCTTGAGATGCAGAATCCATGGCATGAGCCTGCATCTTCAATGGCATATCGGTGTCCTTCACATATGCTTTCCCTTCCAACATATTCTATAGTTTCTTGATTTTACCCAAGAAAATCAAGATTCTTGGTATTTAATATTTATAGTGTGATCATCGGAAATAGGAAAAGAGTGTGATTGTAGATGAGAAATTAGGGGCCATAAGTCCTTTAACAAACATGAAAGTTCTAGTCGACGGATTTTAGACGTATAAGAGAGGTCCACTGCCATTGTATGGTGGCATGTTTTGTTGTTTTTCACAAGAGTCTCAACATGTACCCATCAAGTAAGTTGTTATCCAAGATGACACCCATGACTTATGATTGTCACTTTTTGTATATAAAGTACACCACTTTTATTTTATTTTCATTATTCAAAAGGGAACTATCGACACGTAATATGTAACATGTGAAATGATATAAATATTTGTCAACATCATATTTGATTAAGTTTAGAATGATCGTTTCAGACTTGTTGCGTGTCGACATTTCATTAAATTTTATTTTTATCAAACATCACGTGGAAGAGGAACATGAATATAACATAAGTGTTAGTTAATCTTTATTTGTTGGCTTTTTATTTTCAGTTAAATAAGTTCGTTTTTTTCGGTTTTCTTATATCTTAAATCTAACCATAACAAAACCGATTAAGGATCAGTTTAATTGGTTTCGGTTATTTGGTTACGTTTTTTTTGTTCGGTTTACCAGTTAAACCGAATAAAATTTCTCACGTAGTTTTTTTAAAACTAAATAGAAAAATACTAACTTCTACTAAATGGAAAAAATTCACTAATATATAAAGATGAAAGAGATAATCGTATTAGAAGCCCAAATAAAAGATTTTGAAAGATCAAGAATCCTATTAGGTTTTACATTCCTACACCTATTAGAAGCCCAAATAAAAGATTGTGAAACAATCTTATCAACCATCTTAATATCATAGGCTTCACTTTGGCGAAGATAGTAGCATTGCGAACCCACTAAAGCATGTAACAAGTGGCTTCCAAGAAAGTCTTGACAATATAGTGTAAATGAAGCCTAAAAAAACCACTTAACTAATCTGCATACGTGTCAAAAATAGAATATCTAAATCCCATCGAGTTCCAACCAAGGACCAAATAGAAACCGACACACTCACTTTGATAGTGGACATAATTCCAGCTAGATGGAGTAAATTAGTCATTATCATGGTCAAACATTTGAATAAGTTGCCTACCATAACCAATTTGGAAATGAGAGGTATTAGCATTTCTTATGTGTTAGGTCGCATGCTTTTTGTTTGATACAAAGTTTTTCTGTAACACTTTGTTTCGGGTTGTTTCATAATTCGGGACCGTGACACAAGGATCAAGTATCGTAAGGCCTCGGGCCTTGGGAATGAAAGGTTTAGCCCCATTTGGTAGTGGATAATGTAGGTTGCGAGTATTGAGCATTCAGTTTGTGTTTTGGAGCTCAATGGTATATCAGAAAAGTGTAGTATGGGCTTTTATAAATTTTGGATTTAAGTTCAGAAGGTCTTAAGGAAAAGGATAGTTGATATGATTGTAGAGTATCTCATTACCTTTCTGTGGATATAAAGAACGTCGAAATCGGAGGTGGAACGAAGAAGTTATAACCGTTTGAAGTTACAAGAGTTTAGGGTTAAGCCAAGTACGTTGGATGTACATGGAGTACACTGAGCGTATGAGGCTCAGATGATCATAATGGACCACCCACATACGTTGGGCGTATGCCAAACAGATCAAAACCCTAGTTTTGGGTCTTGGACCCTATTTAAACACCTTAACGTCTTGGACCCTAGTTTTGGGTCTTGGACCCTATTTAAACCCCGAGAATGAAACCCTAATTACTTTTTGAGTATTTTGAGCTTGGGAATGATATTTGAGAGGATTTTTGGTAATCTTAAAGGAAGAATATCTCTTGGAAGTTGCATTGGTGTGGTTGAAGCTTGTGGATCTAGAATCATCACCAACTTGGAAAGTTTTTTGAGGTATAAAGCTCTTAACTTAATGGTTCATTTGGTTAGATCTAGTTAGGGATTGTTTTGTTCTTTTTATGGTCATTTAAGTCATGCATGAGAGTATGAGCTACTCCATAAGCTATGGATGGTAGATTTTAGCATTTTTGAAGTCCATTGTTCATAAAAATGCAATATTGTGGGTTATATTGGACAATGGATGAGTTAGGGTTCTTATTATTGGGTTTATTGAGTATTGGATCCCACTAAGACATGCAAAGGAGTAAAGTCGCCAACTTTACATGTTAATACATCATTTAGGATTAGATATGAGAATTAGACATAATGGCTTAACCAATTAAGCACTTAATAGCGATTTTGGCTTGTTGTAGAGTACGCTAGGTGTACCCAGCTCGTATGCAATGCGTACTAGCCAAAGGCGACATACGTAAGGCATAAGTTTGAGTACGTTGGGCGTACTCAGTAGCCTTTGACTTTTGTTGACTTTTGCGATTTGGGCTATATTTGGACTATTAGGGTTTTGGGCCTTGTTAGGTCATTAGTCTTTCTAACTTTGGGCCATTTTTAGGTTTTGGTTCTCCTTGAATTTGGGCCCACGATGGGCTTTGGGTATCATTTAGGAAGTTGGGCCATATTGGGCTTTTGGTGCCATTAGGTTGGGCCTCGATTTTTAGGCCAAATGAGGAAAGAGTAAAATGGTCTTTTACCCTAAGTGTGTTGGACAATTGAATTAGATTTCTAGTTATGGGTTATGGCCTAATTATTAATTGGTGTTCTGTTTGATTGATTAGCACGGGGATTTTCCGTATCAACAGTCCGAGCGTTTATCTTAATTTTAGTAGTTTGAGGTGAGTTCTCTCACTATGCTAATGTGTAACATCCATAAAATATGGTCCTGAAAATTTCATTTTTAATTATTAAATAAACCGTAGTTATTAAAATCATTCTATCAAAACATAAGTCATAGTATTCCAAACATCAAATCAGAGTATCATATCAAAACATCAGAGTAAACATCCCAGGCTAAAACGTCATGGTGCATGTAATGCAGTCATCCCGAGCTCTTCCCTTTGATACCAGAAGTACCTGAAACCAAAATTGAAAATCGTAAGCACGAAGCTTAGTGAGTTCCCCATACTACCAAATATCATACACATAATCACATATGTTGGGCCCTCGCCCCTTCATTGGCCCCGCCCGGCATCAGGCCCAGCCTAGCATCGAGCCCCGCTCGGTATACATATCTGTTTATCCCAGTCCCTGCCTATCATTGGGCCTCGCCGACTATTCATATACAATCAAAATCACATAATCATGCTAGCACATAAAGAAAACATATGAAGTACTATGAGTTCCAGTTCTAAGGCCTCGCCTATCATGGAACCCTATCCGCACTCAACTAGTAATGAGATACGGGACTAGGGATTCTAGGAAGACCCTACGTATGGTACTAGGGAAAACCACACTCACTTTATGAAGTTCAAGAGAAGGGACAAGTTGCTTCTAGCTCGAAGGGGTGACATCGAAAGAGCTCCACACTCAATGGGCAAAGAAGTAAAAGCTCCATCCTAATAGACCTGAGAACATATGAGGTGGTCATAGTGGGTTTTGGTGTATAGATATATATATAATATGTTGATAAACTTGACGTTGCATAAGTTCTTGTTATATGACATAAGGATATATTGCATTTTAGCAATTGGAGAATGTCACAACCCATATATGATGTGATCATGGAAACCTAGAGAGGAATATCATGCCACTTTTTAGCTTTTCGTTGAGATCAAAGGGGGATGCATATGCATATATGGCATTGTTAGTCTAGTTGTTTCCATCAAGCCGAGTCATAATCATAAGAGGGCTTGAATGTGAAGGGAATTGATAGCTATAGGGGTTAGACATAATTGGTCCGTTAAACTAGTTGAGATGTGTATGTAGGAAGGTTGGTCTTGGGTTTTTACGGGGAACCTCA